GCCCCCCCAGCCTCCTCCCCCGCCTGTCCAGGGGCGGCACTGCGGGCTGGGAAGCCGGGACCAGAGGAGGGAAGGAAGGAAGGAAGGAAGGGAAGAGAAGAGAAGAGAAGAGAGAAGAGGGAAGGAAGGAAGGAGAAGAAGAGAATCCGGAGGAGCAGAGGAAGAAGCCAGACAGGCAGGCGGGAGGAGAGAGGACGGCACTCGTGAGGCAGCATCCAAAGGCCAGAGTGGGGACCCGTGCTGCCTCAGCTGCTCCTCGGATGGTGACGGGGCCTCGCCGCGGCCGCAGCCCCCCCGCGACCCGGCTCCGCAGGCCCACAGCGCCGGAGCCCCGCAGGAATCATGCCCAGGTCTTTCCTGGTCAAGAAGGTCAAACTTGACACGTTCTCCTCGGCAGACCTCGAGAGCTCCTACGGGCGCGCCCGCAGCGACCTCGGAGTGCGACTGCACGAGAAAGGTGAGAGCTGGACTGAGGCTGGGGGCGGCGAGGAGCCCTGGGAAACGCTGGAAGGAGTGGAGGGCCAGAGTGTGGGGGTAGAAGGGGCAGAGGCCCCAGGAAATAGACCCTAGGGAACCAGACCAGCAGGAGGCGGTGGCTGGAACGGGACTGTGGAGGGGGATGGAGATGGGGGGTGGGGAAAGGGGAAAGCAGGGACAGGCCAGAACCAGTCCACGGCTGGGCAGGGGGTGTCAATGCAGGAGAGAGGATGGGGAACAGGAGTTAGAAACTGGAGGTACACGCTGACCCACACCATGACTCATGCCAGGACAAACAGCTGCATGGACACCTGCTGCCATGACAAGACCTAGCTGTGCATGCAGACCCACACCCAGAAACCGGGGCCAGCCTCAGTACCCTCTTCTTTTCTTTGGTACCTCCAGGACTGCTTGCTAGGGCCAGCAGGGGAGTGCTGTGAGCTCCAGGGCGTAGGCATGGGGTCCAGTGGGGGCCGCCCACCTGTCAGGGTTAAGGTACCAGCAGAGGCAGCAGCAGTATCTTCCCTGAAGGCAGGGTCAGGGATGTGGGCAGGTGGGCTGTGGACAGGGGAGGTCCACAGTGCTGGAGGCAGGGGGAGGCTCTTTGTGTAAAGGTGCCCAAGTTCAAGGACAACTGTTAGCATGCAGGCATGGAGGCCCGGAGTGCCAGCAACATGAGGTAGCAGAACAAGTGTGACCTGCAGGAGCATGAGCCTGTGTGTGAGCCTGTGTGCGCCCATGTGACTGCGTGTGGCCATGTGACTGTGTGCGTTTGTGTGTGACCCTGTATGAGTGTGTGCCTGCCTGTGTGCCACTACATGGGACCATGTGACTCTGAGGCCGCTGTACACCCATGTGACTAGCGACCCTGGCTGAGAGTATGTCCGGGTGGCTGCATGTGTGACCCTGCATGAGTAGGTGGTGTATGCCAGGATCAGCATGCAGCCCACCCTGTCAAGGAACTCCAAGGGCTGATGGTGGCTGGGTGTAACCCTGAAGAAGTCAGAGTCTGCATCGTGTGGGCTGTGCATTTGTGACTCTGAGGTTGTGAGATCCATCTTGTGCCTTGAGAACAGCTGCAGTTACTGGCATGCATGGTGCTGCCTGCCCACAGCCTGTCCCTGTGAAGGTGTCACCTGGTGGATGCCCTGGCACTCTCTCCAATACAGCATCTCCCTGGTCACCAGTCTTGGCGCTGGGGAAGGCTCTCACAGGGATTAGGGCCTGGGGGAAGAGGGAATGTGGAAGAAGGTGGGACCCAAGGGTGCAGGATGGCTGAAGGGAGTGGAGGGGGGGGGGCGAGAAGCAGAGTGGATGGAGGGAGATAGGGCTGGAGCCAGAAGGGGTCAAGACCCATGAGTCGGAGACTCAGGAGATGAGAGGGTGGTGCTAGTGAGGGCTCAAGGGGCTCAAGGGGCTGAGGGAGGTCCAAGTCTCCAGTGCTTGTCGGGGGACCTAGAGGACCAGAGGGGGCAGCATCAAGGCTGGGCGCGGGCTCTGGGGGCCCAGGGGAAGAGCCGGTGGGAACCCCGAAAGGCGGTAGTGACGGGGTCCCTGGGCGGGCAGTCCGGGCTTTGTGCGCTGCGGGTCTGCAGTGTGTTGCATAATCAGGGAAAACTGCTGAAGTGGGGAGAACCCGAGGGGGTGGGGAAGGGAGGGGGAAGCACCGCCCCTCCCCCCTGACCTTGAGGCTCGACGGAAGAGGGGCAGCCGCGCCCGAAGATGCGCCTCTTTCCACTCCCTGCGAGGGTGGGGCGGAAGGGCGGCGGGGGCGGAGCCGGGCCGGGCTCTGTCTCATCTCTCCTCTCCTCTCTTCCCCTCCCTGTCGCCTCCATCCTCCCGGCCCCACGGTCCCTCGGCCCCTTCCCCTTTGTCCTTCTCCCTGTTCCCTCCTTCCGGGACTCCGGTGTCTCCCTCCGCCCACCCATGTGTGTCTCGCCCACTGCCCGCTTCCTTTCCCGCTGTCTTTCTGTCTGCCTCGGCCCTCAGGATACCTCAACGACTACGCGGGGCCCGCCTCCGTCTACGATGGCGACGCCGAGGCGGCATTGCTTAAAGGGCCGTCCCCGGAGCCCATGTACGCTGCGGCCGTGCGGGGAGAGCTGGGCCCGGCGGCCGCGGGCTCGGCGCCGCCGCCCACCCCGCGCCCGGAGCTGGCCACAGCCGCGGGCGGCTACATCAACGGCGACGCGGCCGTCAGCGAGGGCTACGCGGCTGACGCCTTCTTCATCACCGACGGGCGTTCGCGCCGTAAGGCTGCCCACGTCAACGCCAACGCAGCCGCCGCCCCCTCAACGGCCTCGGCTGCGGCCCCCGACGGCGACGGTGGAGGTGGGGCCGGGGCGGGCGCGCGAGCTGCAGGGCCAGGGGCTGGGGGCCGGGGCGGCGCGTGGCCGACACGCTTGCGGCGAGTGCGGAAAGACGTACGCCACGTCGTCGAACCTGAGCCGCCACAAGCAGACACACCGCAGCCTGGACAGTCAGCTGGCGCGGCGCTGCCCGACGTGCGGCAAGGTGTACGTGTCCATGCCGGCCATGGCCATGCACCTGCTCACGCACGACCTGCGCCACAAGTGCGGCGTGTGCGGCAAGGCCTTCTCCAGGCCCTGGCTGCTGCAGGGCCACATGCGCTCCCACACCGGCGAGAAGCCCTTCGGCTGCGCGCACTGCGGCAAGGCCTTCGCTGATCGCTCCAACCTGCGCGCGCACATGCAGACCCACTCGGCCTTCAAGCACTTCCAGTGCAAGCGCTGCAAGAAGAGCTTCGCGCTCAAGTCCTATCTTAACAAGCACTACGAGTCGGCCTGCTTCAAGGGCGGCGCCAGCGGCGGTGGCCCCGCAGCCCCGGCGCCCGCCGCGCCGCCGCAGCTCAGCCCTGTGCAGGCCTAGGGCGGCGGTGCCTCCGTCAGCCGGGTCGGCTCTCAGCAATACGGGCCCCCAGGGAAGTCTCCGCGGGCGCTCGGGCGGAGGGGCCGGAGGGTGGGCCCCTCCTCACAGCAATAGGGGGAGGGGGCCCGGCCCGGCCCCACCCGCCGGGGGCCTTGCCGGCCCCTTCAAGCAATAGGGTCCCGAGGGGAGACCCATCCCGAGCCCCCTCCCTTCCCCTCCAGGGTGCCCCAGGCTTTTTCCCAGCAATAGGGTCGAGGAGACCCAGGATCGAACCTCATCTCCGAGTTAGGTTTCTGAAGACGGGGGTGGGGTGAGGTAGGGAGCGCCCCCTCCTCCCTCCTCTGCGCCCCTGGATCGCGTCGCAGAGACTCAGGTCTTCCCCACCCCTTCCCAAGCCTTCCAGGGCCAGGCCTGCGGCCTAGACGTCCAGGGAGCCGGTCCCTCCCCGGCAGCAGACCCAGGGAGGAGCAGGAGGGTGGCCTGCAGAGGCGATTCTATTCCTCAGTCTTACCTGAACCCCGGGAGTGTTAGACACGTTGGGGATCGGGGAGGGGGGCGGACAGCGGCACCCCTTTCCCTCGGGTTTCTTCTGGGGCCTCAGTCCGAGCCGCTCTCTTTCCCTCGCCTCGCATCCTCTGCCAAATCCGAATTCTTCCAGCCCAGATTCCAGGGCTCTGTCCTCCATAACGAATATAATGACACATATCGAATCGCATGGACTTATCCGACCTCCTCAGACCCCGTTCCTGCCCTGCCCCGGGGCCCCCTCCCTCGTACCCGGGCATTCGGTGTTGGAGGACGGATTCCTGGGGCCCGGCAGGCAGGCCTGGGCACGGCCCTCTACACACCTCTCTGTATTTGCTTTGCGGGTAAAGCCCCCTGGGGGGGTTGCGGATGCGTCGGGTTTCTTTCTTTCTGTATTTGTACGTTTTATTTATGAACGGATTGCACTCGGGTCAGGGAAGGGGCGCTGAGGCCGCAACCTTCCCGCCGACGCCCGGGGCTTGGGATGTCCAGGATCACTTTCCCCGCCCCTGAACCCCGCCTCCACCTGGGCTCCGCCTCCTGGGAGCCTCAGGCCCCGCCTCTCAGAGGCCGGCCCCTCCCCCGAGCCTCAGGCCCCGCCCCCACAGTTGCCAACTTTCGCCCGTCTATGCCAAAGCCTCGGCGGCGACCCCGCCCCAAGGGCCCGCCCCATTGGCCGTCGCCTTTGTGACGTCACTGCATGCAGCCCCAACCCTCCTCCTATCCCTTCCCGGGGCTGCCCGCTCCCTCCCCCACTTAGTTAGTCTGATGCCGACTATAGAGCAATAATGCGCACTGCATGCGAAGCTGCCGCCGCCTCTAGAGTTACTGAGAATCAGGTATTCCCCTGCCCTACCCACCCCATAGGCCCCTAGATCAGGGACGCTGCGCGGGGCCGGACGCGCAGACTTTCTTCCCCCTCCTATTCCCTATCCCCCCACCCCACGGCAGAGCCCGGCGGTATAATGATTCCAGGGGCAGGGGCGGTGTAATTGCCTCCAAGACCCCTTCCTCAGTCGTCCATCACGTGCCGACCGTTCATTGGGTACCTGCTATGTGCCAGGGCCGCGGCGACCTGCCGAGGTGTGCATATTCGTGACGGGCGTGACGGGCTTGGGTGCGCCAGGGACGGCCGCAGATGCAGAGAGAGAGAGGCCGGGTCCTTACACCCAACCTGGCGCCTCCCCTCCGCCCCAGCACCCCACCCCAGTCCAGTGTTGGGCGCAGTCCGGCTCTGCCTTTGACTTGGGCCTGGCGTTCTCAGCTCGGGTGGCACAGACCTGGGGCCAAGGCCCAGGGCCGCCCATATCGACTCCCAGTTCTTCCATCCCCTAACTACTGGCTCTGCCGTGTTCGTCCAGAGCCCTAGGCTAAACGGAAAGGTTATGACTTGGCCAGCCCCATCCCCGTGGGAACCAAGCCCCGCTGCTGCCCAGCTACACCCGCAGAGGCGGACCCGAGGGCCCGGCAGAGCAGGGCCCATGTCCCAACCCCCCACATCCCAGCTCTGTACCCACACAGCTCCCAAGCCGGGGCCTGCCCGCCTGTGCCGGGCATACCCGCATGCACACGCACACACAGGCGCCCCAACCTACCCCCCCACGCCTGTCTACCTACCTAAGGAGAAGGCCAGAGGGCCGTGGGCAGGCCAGGGTCTCCCGCTTCACCCCACACCCCGCCGCCGTGGAAAGCCATGGGCCCCCTCCCGCCCCCATAACTAAGCAGCACAATAACCGACTTAGCGAATTCAGGTAGAAGGAACGTTTAGGTAGCACCTATTTTGTACTGATTCTACGAGTAGGGCCCGAGATGCGGGGCCCTCGGGTGGGGGCTGCGGCCACCGGCCCGCCTCGCCCCCACCCCCGCCTGCGCCCCGCCGCCTTGTACATACTCCCACCCGGAATAGGCCGGGTTTTTTACTCGGGCCGCGCCTCTCTTCCGCCCCCGTTTGGGGCCGGGCCGGCCGGACAGACGGACGGACGGACAGACCTCCTTCCTAAGCACAATAGCACCAGCTCCCCGGAGCGCCGCACCTCCACGAGGAGAATAAATGCCACTCTTGATAGAAGCTGGAGTGTTGGGTTTATGTATCCAGGGCTGGGCCTGCGCCGCAGGAAGTGCTTGGGACATCTGGGGGTGTCTTCTCAGAACTGCCGCTACTCGGTTGGGCCAAACTCAGGGCCAGAGCTGGGAGTAGCAGCCCAAGGGGCACGTCGCTGTGTTTTGCTAGGGTGCGCCTGTGTTCCCTTTTGTAAGAGCGCTAACTTCTTTCAGGGAGGGCTAGCTCCACAAGCCAAGTCCCAGCAGCACCCCCATTTCCCCCAAGGCAAAGCAGTTGGCATTTCTCCTGTGGCAGGTGAATCCACTCTGGACCAGAAATTGGGGGAGCTAAGGGATTCCAGCCTGAAGTCAGGCCTGGCCCAGGGCTGATCTAGAATGGCCAGAGTCTGCAGTCCTATAGCCTGGGTTGCCCCCACTCTCCCTGTAGGGGTTCCTGCTGCCCAGGCAGGCCTGACAGCCATCAGCAAGCCTCTGGAAGCTATTGGAGAAAATGGGGGTGGCAGAGGGTGCGAGGTCTGGTCCTTCCCTACAGCCTGCCGCCCACATCCTGACCCTCAGACTCCGGAGATATGTTCTTCCACTGTCTGAGGAGGCCTCCATACACAGTTGGGCTAGGCCGGTTCTGGGGAGGAGGTGCTCAACAGAGGCTTCCACAGCCATCCACAGCCCTGGGGCTGTAGAAAGAATGAGTCAAGTTGAAATGAGGGGCGGAGCTGTGCTGGGTGGGGACAACCTAGGGACAGGGACCCCCCTACTCCAGCAATGCCCCTTGGCACCCAGGTAGGCAGGCATGAGCTGAGAGGCCCAGTCTTTGGCGGCATGTGATCAAACCAGGTCAGCCCAGGGCCAGCACAGCAGGGTCTGCACTCTGGCAGGGGACAGGCCCACCCAGACTCCATGGGGTGGACAGCAGGTCATAGCCTGTGGGCCTGCTGCTCAGCGTGGGGCTCACTTGGAGGTGGGCGCCTCCTTCTGGGAGCACTGTCATCAGTAACAGCTCAGGGGTGAAAGCCCCTTGTATTAGTAGGGGTCAGCACTGAGAAAGGCCTAACTGCCAGGTTCGGGCAGGCCAATAAACAAACGTTCAGGGAGACTGGATAGGAGACTGGGCTGGTCCTGCCCAGGTCCCTAGGTTGGATAGGTGTCATCACCCAATTTGCAGATGAAGAATCTGAGCCTCAGGGAGAGAACCGGCTGCCTTTGGCATGAGCCCTGCCCCAGGACCCCATCCACCCTACACCCCAATTCACTTGAGTAGGTGCCAACAGCAGGGAGGAAGGTTCCTGGCCGCCCACTCCTTCCCAGGCCTCCACGCCCGGCCTTGGTCCGAATTGGCTGTTTCTGCTTCTCCAGGACTCTGCAGGGCAGTGGGGATAGAAGGATGGAGGCTGTCCCCCACCCCCAGGCCTGGGATAAGTCCATCTCTCAGTCTTTACATGTGTCCATGTACGGGCCTTTGCATTCCAGAGAACAGGCAGCACAGGCTTCTCTCTACCATGTCCCCTCTCCTCTCTGGATGCACCCCTCACAGGCACTTTCATTCTGGAGTAAGCCTGAAACCCTTTCTAAATTCAGAACCCCTTTCTAGCTCACTATTCTGCCAGGCCTGCAAGGGTACTCACACAGGACCTGGTCCCCCTAATATGTTGCTCTCTGCTGAGAGATCCCCACTGAACTTGCTTCTCCAACTCCTCTCACATACTTATGTCCTCAGCCACCACCACCTTGACCTCTCCCCTCTCCCGCGGTGCCCTGGGCCACACCTCACCTTAGATCCTGAGGTACTGGGGCTGGGGAAGTGGGGAACCCGGAATACGCTCCTCGCTCTTCTAGGGTTCCCCCTCCGGCCGGCATCTCGGACAGGCCCCGCCTCCCTTCCAAAGGCCCCCGCCCCATCGCCAGCTCCTCCTTATTGGTGCGCTCACAGTCATGCCTTCCCATTGGCTCGTGGCCCCTGCTCTCCTCGCCTTCAACTCCAGTACGGGAACCTTGGCTTACCCAGGGTCCTCGGCCGTACAGGTCCTGCCTGGTGGCCCTCGGTCCGTTGTGGTCACCTCACAGCCTCCGCCACTTGCCAGCTGACAGCTTGGAGCCGGGACATGGACACAGGTAGCCGCCTCCAACACGACCCTTCACTCCTCATTGGCTACTGCACTCAGCCTTTCCGGGCCTACTGGCACCTTGAGCCGTCAATCTTCTCCTCTGCCAATAGGTTTGCCAGCCTGGGCAGGACTCTATCTAGTTCTTCGCTCAGTATTGGAGAACCGCAACGCCAGAAGGCGCGCAGGGAGACGTGGGCAGGCGTGCAGAGCTTCCGCGTTTGCTGCTTGGGAGATGGGGGGGGGGGGGGACGGGGACGGACGGACACGGAGCTCATAGGAGTCACCCCTACGAGGCCCTTGGAGAGGACTCTTTCCTTCTTTCGTTCGCCCTGCCTTGGGATCAGCACTGAGAAAGGCCTAACTGCCAGTTTCGGGCAGGCCGATAAACGAACGTTCAGGGAGACTGGATATGAGACTGGGCTGGTCCTGACCCACCGAGGTTGGGCCACGTGTGCTTGCGGGGGTGCTCTCCCGCCTAGTCAGGGTGACCCCTTCAGCAGGCTACTCGAGGACAACTGACAGGTAGCCCCAGCTTGCTAGATAGGGATGCCAGGCAGGCATCCGCCCCAGAAGGTCCGGTGGCAGCAAGAATGTGTCACCAGTGTGCCTGGACGCCGTAGGTGGAAGTGGTGGAGCAGGGGTGAGCCCACTGGTGAAACGATGGCGTAGGAGAGGCAGTTAACTTCAGGCTGAGCCTCTAGGATGATTTGTTTCCAGAAAGGTGCTCTTCTCATCCCTCCCTGCTTACCTCAGGAGCGTGAATTGCTAATGTGTTCTGCTTGCTCCAAATGTTTTTTGGTTAAACCAGGCCTGAGCCCCCAGGAAACCCTCAAAGCCCGAGATCCAGGATGTTCAAACTCCATGCCCTGTGCAAGATGCGTATCAAGCTACGGTGGGACGTGGACTTGCCCGCCCGCGGGACGCACCTTGAAGTTGTTACAGTGGAGTAGTTGCTTCATTTAACGACAGGGGCGTTTGCACAGATTGCGCAATTACACAGACGCCTCTGGGTCTTTGCGATCCGGCACCCCAGGCTCCCCACGCCCTGGCAAAACTGGCCCCGGGTGGGAAATGGGGGAAGCCTTGCATGTCTGCGGACGTGGGCATAAGGGGGTTCGGGTGGGAGGGGCGTGCTGGGGCGTGGCCACCCCGGGCGCCTGCACCATCTCTCTACCCGCGCCGGGCCCTAGGCGTCCGCGGGCAGGGAGGGCGTCCCGGGTACGCGAGGCTTGGGGCCTTTTTCTGGCTCCATCTTCTGGTCTGGCGCTTGTCTGAACAACCTAAGCCGAGGAAAAGCGGCTGCCTGCGGTGCTAACTACAGTCGTGCTCTGCGAGGCGCGCGATTGGAAACCAACGCGCTGGGTGGTGGTTGAGGCGAGTCCTCGAGGGCAGGGCCCCGCGGCCGGGCGGTAATGCAAGACACGTTTCGTAAGTAACCTCCCTACCCACACTCCGTGTATTTATAGAGCGGGACATGGGGCAGGCAAGCGGTCAGAGGGGCGGCGCGCGGCTGCCAGGAATCCAGCTTATCCGCGCAGACGCCGAGGCGGGGTCGGGGTCGGGGAGCAGGGTCAGCCACCCGCCACACGCAGCCGCGGCGATCCAGCCCGCGGCGGACGACCACGACTCCCAGGGTGCCTCGCGCGGGCGACCACGACTCCCAGGGTGCCCTGCGCGCCCGCGGACTACAAATGGGCGCCGGCGGCGGCCGCCCGCTAGTTAGCCGCTCCGGGAGCGACGCGGCAGCTAGCTGCAGGCTGACCGGCGGGCGCGCGCTGATTGGCGGTGCAGTCCGGCGCGCGGGCTACGGCGGCCGGCAGGGGGCGGCGGCGGCCTTTGGCCTTGGGTCCGGAGGCGGGGCCGCGGGCCTCGGGTGCTGCGAGCCGGGCGGTCCACGACCCAGGGTGCGGGCTGAGGCCATGGGCGACCGCGGCGGTACGGGCAGCTCCCGGCGCCGGAGGACCGGGTCGCGGCCCTCGAGCCAGGGTGGCGGCGGCCCCGCGGCGGCAGAAGAGGAGGTGCGAGACGTGGGCGCCGGAGGGGATGCGCCAGCCCCGGACAAGGACAAGGACGGAGACGCCGATGTGGGCAGCGGCCCCCGGGATCTGAGGTAGCGGTGCGATTGACCCATAACCTCTGAACCCTGACCCGCGATCCTGGTATCCTCTCCGGTCCCTCAAGGCCTGGCTGGGGCGCCCGGACTTCTCGTGGACAGGGTGCCCCTTGGATCCCCACAGGGAAACTGAGGCTTAGGAGTGGAGGGTCGCCTGCTAAGGTCACCCCGCGCAGAGAGGGTAGCCGGCGGCAGACCAGCCTCCAGACCCTCCCCCATCTGCACACCCTCTGGGGGACCTAAGGCTCTTTCCCGGGGCGAGCCAGGAGTCTGGCGCCTTAGGCGAGCTGGCTCCAGCCACGCACAACTTTCGTCTGTCTGGAAGGATCTGGATGGGATTGGATGGTTTGTGATGAAAGGGTCCCTCCTGAGGGCTGTGCAGGGTGCCTTGCTGGGAGAGGAGGGTGGGCTGCCTGGGGAGGGGAGCAGCAGGAGGCTGGGACTGCCTGGGGACAGGAGCAGGGGACAGTGAGAGGCTTTCCCCTTTGTGCAGATGAGAAATAGGGGTCCCTTCCTTTCCTGGCTCGTTCATCCCTCGCAGTGCTTGGGTGGCCTGGGGTGCTGCTGATGTTACCAGAACAAGTGCCTGCTGTAGGGACACAGTTGGGTTTTGGTTGGGGTACAGGAGAGAAGTTTGAAGTGGGCACACCCACAGGTGGGAGCACTGCTTAGCTGAAGGACTGACAGGAAGGGGTGGGGAGAGCAAGCTGAGCCCATGGGGAGGACCTGGCCTGCCTGCACACTGACCCTGTCCTCCAGGCTGGCTCCAAGTGGCCCCTTTGCCACCCTCCAGCCCTTTCCTCACTGCTGGCCTTCCTCCTGGCCTAGGGTCCTTTGGGGTCTTTGGCTCTGGAAGCAGCTTCAGGGCTAGAGGTTATCAAGGAGGAAGTGGGCACTCGGTCAGTCGGTTGGGAAGGATTTGCTCTTTGTAAACAAGGACGGAGGCTTTCTTCCTGGGCACTGTGGGGTTGGGGTGGGCAAGGGCAGCTGGGGTGCAGCACTGTCCCTGCCCTTGGAGTGCTCACAGTCCACCTGAAGATAAGATAATCTCAGCACTGAGCAGTGTGAGCAAAGGTCAGACACGAGGTTCATGAAGGCTCCGTCAGGGAAGAGGGGGGGTTCTACGGAGAGGGGTGCTTGCTTCCTGTGGGGTGCTGCCGAGGGAGGCTGCAAAGAACAGGACAGCTCTAGAGTGCCCTGTACTCACTCCCCAGAGGCAGGGGCATAGCTAGCATGGTCTCCCTCTGGAGGAACCGGGAATTGGGGTCCTATTGTGAGATGGGGGTGCCGGCTTTAGGCCAAGCTGTCACCTAGGATGGAGTTTCTTGCTTTGCACGGGCCAGGTGGTCAGAAGCCTGTCCTGTGCTCCTGCTAGTTGGGCTGAGTGAGTGGGAGCCCTGAGTGCCCGCCCTTGACATCTGGACCCCCTGGGAAGAGGAGCAGGAGATGGCAGGGATAGGTTTGCTCCGGGTGGGAGGGGGCCCTGGTTATCGCAGTGCCCTCCTAATTTCCAGGACATGCAGGCTATGTGTGCTTGTCCCTCAAACCCAGATGCCATGAGGTTTGGTGTCCCCTGGGGCTTTGGCCACCGTCTGGGGGGCGGCGAGCCTGCCTTGCTCGGGCTGCCCTCTTTGTCATCTTCTCTCACCTGCTTCCTCCTTACTCCCCTCCCTACTTCCTGTTCACCTTGGCTGGGGCAGGCAGGTCAGGCTCTGGGTGTGAGCTCACTTCTCCCAGCCCGTGGCAAGGGTGTGGCTGTGGGGCAGGAAAGAGAGGGCACCCCTTTCTGCTCTGCCCTGTGGCTCCACACAGCCCCTGTGCCCAGGATGCCAGCACTCCTGGGTGTTTGTCCCTGGGGTGCTCTCTGTATCTCCCTCTCCAGCAGGGTCGCAGAATGTGGGGAGCCCACTGAGCCACCTTGCACCCCAGGGCTCAGCGCAGCGGCTGGGTGGAGAAAGTGCTGAGGAGGTGGCAGCTGGGAGGCCAGCTGGCACCCTGCTCCCTCCTTGCTCTGCTTGGCTGGGAGCTGGGCCATGTGGTCCCAGGCGTGGTCCACACGTGGAGGCTGGGCCTCTGGGCAGGCTTTAAGCCTCAGGGAGCCTCAGTTTCCCTGTGTGCCTGCCTTCCAGTGTTGGTGTGAGGGTTGCGTGAGGTGACGCGTGTGATGAGTTAGAAAGGCCCTGCTGGCTTGGTGGGCCTGGGGGGTGGGTGCTGTAGGGCAGAGGTGTGGGCAGCCCTGCAGTAGGGGAGAGGGTGACAGATACAGCTCTGGCATGGTGGCCAGGTGCTGCCTCCCGTGCAGGGCCTGCCTGCCTGCCCTCTGGCCCACTGCTGCTGACTGCTCTGGCAAAGTGGACCTTCGGGTATTGGTGGACGGTGGGCTTCCTCCCTGGGTTGGGGCCTCTGACCTGTGGGGGAAGGGCGCTGCCTGGGGTTGTGGAGCGACCTGGTTATGGGTGCGGGCAGGTTGGAAAAGGACTGAAAAAGCTTTTGTAATGTTACTCGGTGTCATCTAGAAAACAACACCCTTCCTCTACCCCCATTTTCATCGTAGAGATTGCCACAAATAAAGCCTGCATGGTCTTGGTGGCCCAAAGGGGGCAGGGGTCACAGTGTTGTGAAACAGCCCTCTGGGTGTGCCAGCCCAGCATGGGCATGCATATGCTGGTTGGCAGATTGAGGCACACGGCGGTTTTGGGATGGTTCCAGTGAAAGCAAATGGACTTGAATTTGGGGGAAGGGGCTGGGTACAGGCTCAGAGACTCCTCTGGGGAGCTGGGCCTCGGGCCCCTGCCTGCCTTGTGGAAAGGCAGGTGCAGTCTCAGGTGGAGATCATGGCCTCACTCTGAGGCCCAGGACCTACTGGAAGGTGGATGCAAGGAGGCCAGGCCTGC